GAAGCCACATTTTTGCTCCAAGTTTTTGGGCACTGGCACTGCAAATAGTAAGAAGCCTGGTTAGAAGATATATATTGTTTTTAATTCACAGTTTTTTCTACTCCTCTCTCTGTCCATACACACACTCCACCTTTCTTTCTGCTTTGGTGTTCAAAATAAAGGGGGGGGCAGCCACAGGAGGAGGCACTTATCTTGTTCCCGAAGGATTTCCACATTTACAACACAAAAGCTCACCAGAAGAAACAGAAGTTGTGCAGCCTGGAGGAGCAAAACTTTAGAGCTGGCAAATAGCACCCTCTGCCAACTGCCATTGCAGGAAGCGTGCAAAAGCAGACTATGCAGCTAAATAATAATAAAAAAGCTCCGATGGTTTTTGGGTAGAGGACTCTGAAACCCCCCCCCACACACACACACTGTAGGGAAGCTACAGCTTGACTCCTGATAAGAGATAAAAGAGGGATTTCTCACCACCCAAGCAAGAAATAGGGGAGGCTGGAACTGACGCTAGAGATAAGGAGGAAAATTTCACTGCACATAACGCAGAGCAGGCTTTTGGCGAGGGAGGGGAGGGGAGGAGAAGAGAGGGGCAGTCTCGGAAGCCAGCCGGAACTGTGTTCCGGTGCGTTCTGGTCCAAAAATAGCCCTGAGCATGACCATTCTTTCACAGTCCTCCATGGCTCTCTGAGCATGGGCACAGAGGATAAAAAGCACATCTGTAGCTTGTCTCCATTTCAGGGACATGACCTTAGTCAGGTGGGTAGCCATGTTAGTCTGAAGCAACAAAACAAAGTTTTAGACCAGTGGCACCTTTAAGACCAACAAAGTTTAATTCTATAAGCTTTTGTGAGCATGCACACGTCTTCAGATACACCGAAACAGAGTTTGTCAACCATTACATATAGGTAGAGGGGGGAGGGTTATTTGCCTGGAAGGGCTAACTAGAGTGAAGATACACTTAGCAATTAGTATAGCTAGAGCTGGATTAAAGACCTGTGAATAGCATCAAATTAGCATGCAGATAATAAAAGAGTTAACTCTTTTAAACTCTTAAAGGTGCCACTTGACTCAAACTTTGTTCCTTTATTATCTGTGTGCTAATTTGCTGCTATTCACAGGTCTTACTAACTACTTTAATCCAATCTTAGCTATACATTGCTCAGTTACTTATGCATCTTGACTCTAATTAGCCCTTCCTGGCGACTAACCCCCCCCCCCACACACACACCTATATGTAATGGCTGGAAAAGTCTGTTTCAATGTATCTGAAGAAGTGTGCATGCAAATGAAAGCTCATATCCAGAATTAAACTTTGATGACCTTAGGGTGTATATGTCTGGGTCAGTGTCTTGCCAGGTCTGGCTGGCTGCTTTGGTACTGGCTTGCCTTGGATTCTCTGGTTTGACATTGCTTCTGTTGGGCATGTTGTTTCTGTTTGCATTTAAAGGCTTTTGGCCTACCTATGTGTATTAAGTACCACCAAATCCCTTCCAAGCTATGACGACTCTATGAATTAACGACCTCCTAAATGTTTTATCGTTAACAGCCTTGTTCCAGTTTTCCCAACAGAATAAGAAAAACAGGAAGCTTTTTCATCAATGCTAAAAAGGCCTATGCCAATTTATTTCAAAACAGGGTCGAAAGGAAAACATTTTTAGTGCTGATCACAATATACAAAAATAGTTTAGGCTACCTGATTGGGCTTTAATCAAGGAGGCGCACATTTTATGAAAATGTAGTTCTAATTAGAGCTCCCTGTGTAAGAGAGCCTTGTTGAGTTTAAAAGATTTGCTAGCATTTTAATTTCAGAAAAGAATAAATTCAGAAAAACTGCTTAGCAAATCAGAACCATGAGATACAAATTCTGTAAAGCCATAATGGCTGAAAGCCAGATTCAGAATACTGACATCTCCATGTAGTCAATTAACTTGGTAGCATCTTGACTCACATATGCACAGAATACAAATATACACAGTAGAGGTGTGAAAAAAGTGGTCTTTTTTTGAGTTCAGGTATATTGAGACCAAAAAATATCGTTACTTTCCAATATTCCCAAATCCCAATACCAACATTTTTCAGCTCCATTATGCCCTATAGGAACCATTACAGTCAATGGGGAATCCGGGGGTCTATTTTTTGAGGTCAGGGGCACCACATTTTCAGCGTAGCTGCTGGTGCCTCTCCTAAAAAAAACAACACCCTGAATTTCAAAAAGATTGGACCAGGGGGTCAAGTTCTATGGACCTCCGAAGAAGGTGCCCCATCCTCCATTTGTCTCAATGGAAGGGGGGGAAGGCATTTAAAGGGCGGCGAAGGCCCCGTGGGACAAGCCATCTTCTGCTCCAGTCTGGATCATATGTATCGGGTCCAGAAGTCTGGATCATATGTATCGGGTCCAAGAGACGGAGGCTGAATTCCTCCATATCCATGTTGAATGCCATAAGGCTTTAGTATGTGTGATCATGCCAATCTATTTGACAGATGTCTGACAGTCTGGAGAACCAGCACAAACCGGTTCTGACTGGAGCTAAGCTGAGCTGTCTCACAGTGACTCAGCAGTAAGCTGATTGGCTGGTCAGTGTACATAAGTGTATGTAGTCTGTACAGTATTTTCCTTCTTCTTGTATGAGCGTATGGCAGAGCACTTTGACAGAGAGAGCTGTATATATGAAAATAAATCACTGTATATAGTTAACCACAAGAACTGTGTGAGTGTGGTTTACTGCAGTGGAATCTTAGCAGAGTGCAATTTGGATCTTAAGCTGACAGACTGCGCGACAATCCACCCCAAGCCCAACTCCATGGTCGTGTCGTCCGCCTCAAAGAGTAAACGTACCCTTGCTACCCCTTCCGATAAGGAGAGCAAGAAGTTGGATTCCATTGGTCGTCGTTTCTACTCAGCTGGAGCTCTCGGAATTAAGACATCTAATTATATTGCTTGTATGGGCCGTTACCAGTACTCACTCTGGGAGCGCTTTACCGTCCTTTTGACCTCGGTACCTGAGAACAAACGTCAGGAGGCCAAGAAGCTGCAAAAGGAAGGCTTGCTGCTCTCTGAACATTCCTGGCTTAAAACCACCTCGCTCCCTGCTGACACCAGGGCGTACATAGAGGAGTTACCTTTTGATGGCCAAGGTCTCTTTCATGCGTCCACTGATTCGACACTCCAGGACATGGATAACAGCATTAAGGCCTCGAGGTTGCTGGGGATCTCTGCACCCTCTAAGCCCTTTTGTCCTCGCTCTTGGTCTCGTTACGGCTCCAGGTGTCAATACGCTAAACCGTCACCAGACAAAAGCTACAGACCACATCGGTCTCCGTCTGCAAACAGGCAGCAGTACCAGACCACACAAAGATATGGCTCTGGACAGCAACTTGTCAGACCTAAAAAACCTAAACTCAGCAAGCAGGGCCTCTGACTTCCGCCTGTCTGCCTCTTCCAACCCTACCTGCCTCCATCGTTATTTGCAGGCCTGGGCCACCATTATGTCGGACCAATGGGTCCTTTCCATCTTAGCCAAGGGCTATTCCATCAAATTCATGGAACTCCCACCTCTTTCTGTAGTCGTCACCACTCCCCCGTCGTCATTCCTCCTCAAAGAAGTTGCCACACTTCTGTCGAAAGGTGCTATAGAACCCGTGCCTCTAGATCACCAGGGACTTGGTTTTTATTTCTGGTACTTCGTGGTACCCAAAACAGACGGCGGGCAGAGGCCGATCTTAGACCTTCACGGCCTCAACGCCTATATACAGTACCAGAAATTCAAAATGACATCCCTACCAGTCATTCCGCCTCTCCTGTCCCAAGGATGCTGGGTGGCCACCCTCAACCTCGAGGATGTCTATTTCCATTTAACTATCCACCCCTCCCATCGAAAATATCTCCGGTTTGCGATAGGAGGCAGGCACTACCAATACAGGAGTATACTGTTTGGCCTCAGCACGGCCCCGCAGGTCTTCACCAAGACGATGGAGGTCGTTGTGGCACATCTCCGCCTCTGTGGCCTGACAGTGTTCCCATATCTGGACAACTGGCTTCTGGTCGCACCTTCCAGGGACCTTCTTATTCATCATGTATCCCAGGCCCTCAATGTCCTTCGTTGCCTCAGTCTCTGGGTCAACCACAAAGTCACAGCTGGTTCCTTCTCAAAGAGTACAGTTCATAGGGGCGATACTCGACTCCAGAGAAGGCAGAGCTCTCCTGCCCCAGGACAGAGCCCTAACCCTGACTGCTCTTGCAGAACAAGTTTGACTCCAGGACACATTGTCTGTTTTCCAGATTCAACACCTCTTGGGCCTGATGGCAGCTACAACTGCTGTCCTTTGTTTTGCGAGGCTGCGAATGCATCCACTCCAGCTTTGGTTCCTATGGCACTTCAAGCCCCTACAGATGTCCCAGTCGGTTCATCTCTCTCTGCCACAGGAGGCACGCGACTCCCTTCTCTGGTAGACACGGTCAGACAACCTGACGCGGGGTGTCCCTTTCCATCCCCTCACTCCTGGTCTCACCCTCACGACCGACGCCTCGCTGTGGGTCTGGGGAACCCACCTCAACGGCCTCTCTGTAGGTCACAAGTGGGATGCCTTGGTCTCAAGAAAACATAAATTTTCTAGAACTTTTGGCAATCAAACTGGCCATCCAATGTTTCCAGCCTCTTCGCTCTCATTTTTTTTAGCCCCCCATAGGGCATTTTTATTGCATTTTCTATAAACTACAACGAAATTAGGGAAGGGATCTACAAACTATGGGAGAAAGTAACAAAAACCCACTAAAAACCCAAGAGATGGTGATTATACATAATGCTTGTATAATAGCTTCTAGCTTAAAATTTAATTAAAGTTCACTGGATGTGGTCAACCATAATCTTCATACTAAAATTAAAGCAAATTTTAACACCTGCGCATCTGCCTTAATAAAAAGCAATTTAAGAAATGGTTAATAATCATTATGAAGAGTTCTAGAAACAATAAAAACTCAATATATATCCTTTTTCTTTCTCGACTGATAGCTTGTTTTTGAGGCTGCTGCCCCAAGTTCTGAATCGGAGTCCTCGTCCGAAGATGCCACTGCTCCATCACTCTCCTTGATGCTGTCATCTTTCTCTTTATATTCTTTGCCTGCTGGTCGATTATGCTGCTGCAAAAACTCCAATGCTTTTTCAACAGAGTCAATTTTTTCTTTCTTATCCTTGAACTTGAAGATTATGTCTTCGGGCACATTCCATCTGTAGGGGATGTTATTTTTCGAAGCAATAGTACCAAGTCTCTGAATTTCTTTCTTTTCTTTCTTATTTCAAATGGAATGTCTTTTAAGATTTTAATTTCTTTGTCCTTAATCTTCAAGGTCGTTCCACTTGTAGCTTTAAGAATTTGGACTCTCACTTGTCTTCTGGAGAATCTCACCATCTCTTCTCCGGGCAGATTATTCTTTCTTGTAAATTCAGAATACGACCTATAGATCACATCTATTTCGCTTTGTAGTATATCCGCTTTAATATCTGTTACCGGGGCAATAGCATCACACATCACCTGCTTTAGATCTTCTCCTTTCTCCTGAGGAACTCCTTGAAATCTCAGGACATAGCTTGCTCTTTCCATTTGCAGCTGTAATAAATGAGACTCGTCGGCTAGTCTCTTTTTCTCCATCACCTGCAGTTGTTTTTTGAGCTTCTTTGTGTTGACATCCACTTCTTTGAGCTCTTGCTCCATTCTCTCCGTTTTTTTAACAGTCTCATTCAGTTGGGTTTGTTGCATATCAAGCTTTTGGTGCAATGCCATAACTTGTTCCAGTAGAGGGCAGAACGCCACAGTCAGCATCCTTTGAAGGTCTGCAGTTGTGTCCTGTCTAGGGACAGAACTCGCTGGGCTGGCACTTCCAGCAAGAGGCTTCAGTTTCGCTTGCTTCTCCTTCTCCTCCTTCGGCGCCATGTTTGAGATTGTTTACTTTTCATAAAAGTTATCAAAGTCTCTAGAATCCCTACAAGAGTCTGGTAAGTTGGAATTCCAGTTGATGGTGGCACATTTGCGGACTTACCTCCCGGACCTCCCGGGGATGTCTCCGTGCTCCGGCGGAAGGAGGGAGCGAGCAGGCTCGTAAACCCCCCCAGGGGCCTGGTGAAGGGACCCTGGCCAAGGAGCTTTGAGGGGTAGCCTCTTCAATGGCGGAATGCCAGAGAATCGAGGCTCCCCTTTGCTCCAGTGGTTCTTCCAGCCGAGAGACCAAATAGTACAAGTGAAGCTAACCGGGTCAACCGCAGGGGATCGGGCATGAAAAATGATGAAAGAATCGGGGTCGAAAGACCAACTATGAACGTGAGTCAACTGAGAAATGATTTTTGAAAGAAAAGACGCTCCCCTACCCTACACGGCGGAACGGGAAAAGCATAGGTATGGGAACTATATGCTGTCTCACCTCAGGATGGCGTGAGACTTTGGCCAAGACAGTGGAGCCCTTGGATGACCAAGGGAGGCAGTGGGGACCTTGGATGACCAAGGGGTAAAAGGAGTACTGAAGGATGATAGGGAAATGGCTGAGAAGCTAAATGCATTTTTTGCCTCTGTCTTCACTGTGGAAGATGAGAAGTGCTAGCCCACTCCAGAATCGCTGATTTCAGGAGGGGTGTTGAAAGACCTGAGTCAGATTGAGGTGACGAGAGAGGAGGTCCTAAAACTGATAGACAACTCAAAAACTGATAAATCACCAGGCCCAGATGGCCAAGAGTTCTGAAAGAACTCAAATGTGAACTTGTGGATCTCCTGACCAAAATATGTAATCTTTCCTTAAAATCAGCCTCCATTCCTGAGGACTGGAAGGTAGCTAATGTCACTCCCATCTTTAAAAAGGGTTCCAGAGGAGATCCGGGAAATTACAGGCCAGTCAGTCTGACGTCGATACCAGGTAAACTGGTGGAAACCATTATTAAGGAAAAAATTAGTAAGCACATAGATGAACAAAACCTATTGAGGCAGACTCAGCATAGGTTCTGTAAGGGAAGATGTTGTCTCACTAACCTGTTAGTGTTCTTTGAGGGGGTGAACAAACATGTGGACAAGGGGGATCCAATAGATATTGTTTACCTTGACTTCCAGAAAGCTTTTGATAAAGTTCCTCATCAAAGGCTCCTAAGTAAGCTCAAAAATCATGGGATAAAAGGACAAGTCCTTTTATGGATCAAAAACTGGCTAATTAATAGAAAACAGAGAGTGAGTATAAATGGGCAGTTCTCCCAGTGGAGGGGGGTAAGCAGTGGGGTACCACAGGGATCAGTACTTGGTCCACTGCTTTTTAACTTGTTCATTAATGATTTGGAGTTGGGAGTAAGCAGTGAAGTGGCTAAATCTGCGGATGATACGAAGTTGTTCAGGGTGGTGAAAACCAGTGAGGATTGTGAGGCACTCCAAGGGGATCTGTCAAGGATGGGCGAGTGGGCGTCAACATGGCAAATGGGGTTCAATGTGGCCAAGTGCAAGGTGATGCACATTGGAGCCAAAAATCCTAACTATAAATACACGTTGATGGGGTCTGAACTGGCAGAGACTGAGCAAGAGAGAGATCTTGGAGTTGTAGTGGATAACTCACTGAAAATGTCGAGACAGTGTGTGACTGCAATAAAGAAGGCCAATGCTATGCTGGGGATTATTAGGAAGGGTATTGAAAACAGATCAGCCAATATAATAATGCCCCTATATAAATCAATGGTGAGACCTCATTTGGAATACTGTGTGCAGTTCTGGGCACCACACCTTAAAAAGGATATTATAGCTTTGGAAAAAGTGCAGAAAAGGGCAACTCGAATGATAAAAGGGTTGGAACACTTTCCCTATGAGGAAAGGTTAAAGCGCTTAGGGCTCTTTAGCTTGGAGAAACGACGACTGAGGGGTGACATGATTGAGGTTTATAAGATTATGCATGGGAAAGAGCAGGTAGAGAAAGAGGTACTTTTCTCCCTTTCTCACAATACAAGAACCCGTGGGCACTCCATGAAATTGCTGAGCGGTCGGGTTAGAACGGATAAAAGGAAGTACTTCTTCACCCAAAGAGTGATTAACACATGGAATTCACTGCCACAGGAAGTGGTGGGTGCTACAAGCATGGACGGCTTCAAAAGGGAATTAGATAAGCATATGGAGCAGAGGTCCATCAGTGGCTATTAGCCACAAGGTATAGCTAGGGGCTCTGGGGCAAGTGATGCTCTGTCTTCTTGGTGCTTGGGGGGGGTCAACAGTGGGAGGGCTTCTAATGTCCTGGCCCCACTGCTGGACCTCCTGATGGCACTGGTATTTCTGGCCACTGTGGGATACAGAGTGTTGGACTGGATGGGCCTTTGGCCTGATCCAACATTGGCATCTCTTATGTTCTTATGTTCTTATGAAATACCTGCCCATCGAAAACGCTTTATACTGCCAAACAGGGCCAAGAAGATGCAGGCGAATCTGGCGAGGGAAGCTAGTATAGCAGCATCTGGTGGGACTGATTAACATTTCTGCCGCTTCGAACCCAAACATTAGATACCATTGTGGAATGTGGTTTGGCTCTTGCTGCACTTCAATATTTATGCAGGTTTCACTTTTTTTTTTTATTAGAACCATTCACCTGGCCAGATGCCAAACCAAAAACTTATTTTTGGGGGGACATAGTAGCAGATTCTCTACTCAAATCTCTAATTGCTTTTAAAATCCCTAGCAGGAAGGAGCAAGTTTTTGCAGCAGTATTTCCGTCTGCAAGGACGAAAATAGATTTCCTTCACATTAGCATGGGAAAAGCCAGACGCAAGGTGGGGTTTCTTTTTGCACAATGTATAGGTGCAACCACCACTGGCAGATGTGGAAGGAGCATTTTTAGGAGGAAAGCTTGGTATCGTGGGGAGTTCGCGCTCCCAGTTTAATTCTGGCAAGAGAAATGAGGCTGTCTTTACTCCCTTTGCAAGGATAGAAGCAGAATGCCTGCACATCGTACCTGGGAGAGCATCAGTTTTAACCTCTAGGAATAAGTGCATACTTTTTTTTACTATTACTATCATCATCACCTTCATTTACGGACTGTGTATGCCGCCTCTCCAAACACCTGCTCAAACAGTTCACAACTAAAAACAATGCAATAAAACCAGCAGCATACATTATCAACATGAAAAACAAAGTGCAGGCATAAAAATAGCATAAAACAAACACTGAGCAGCCTAGAAAAATACCTCTACAACAGTCCCCAGGCTAGAAGCAAGACCATTAAAACAGCTAAACAGATGTAATCCCTCAGTTAAAACCCTGGGTAAAAAGAAGAGGGCACGGATAAAGCAACTAAAAGACACTGGAACAATAAGAACGGCCCTGTTGGATCAGAGCAACAGGCCATCTAGTCCAGCATCCCGTCTCACTGAGTGGCCAACCAATTCCTCTGGAGGGCCAGCAACAGGGCATAGAGGCTGAGACCTTCCCCTGATGTTGCCTCCTGGCTCTGGGATTCAGAGGATTAGTGTGGTGTATTCAATCTGACCAGAGTATGTATGTGAACTCTGTCACTGAAACACCATGTGAAGCTTTCATCCTGGGCTAGGATCCTCACTTGTAATTGGTAGCCCAGGAAGAGCCGACCAATCACCAACAGCCAGTTCCAAAAATCCAGGGGGGTAGCAATTATTTTTTCAGCAGCCTGCCCATTTCAGAAAAGTAATTTAGTACGAGACCAATTAGGGCATTATATTTTTGTTAAAGGGCAATATTAAAACAAAACATTTACCTTCACCTCCATTTATGCACCCAACAAGAAGCAAATTCAGTTTTTAAGAGATGTTCTCAAGAAACTAGATAAATTTAAAGAGGGGGAAGTGGTGATAGGGGGAGATCTAATTTGGACTCATATGGGTTACTTAGACAAAAGTGGAAAGAAAAATACAGAAAGGAAAATAGGGGGAAACAAATTGGTAAAAAGACTGCAAAAATTTAATCTGGTAGATGCCTGGAGAGTGGACAATCCACAGAAAATGGATTATACATATTATTCACATAGACACAACACATACTCAAGAATAGATTTCATTTTGATATCATCAAGTTTAATGCAGAATATAGCCAAAGCAGAAATTGGTATAAGAAAACTATCTGATCATTCTCCAGTCTGGTTAGATATGAATATTCTTGGAGAACAGCCAACTACATACACATGGAGATTTAATACTATTTTATTAACTAAATCAGAATCATCGGGGAGAGAACTGCCCCTTGGGGCACCCCCACAGACTAATGGGTGTCTTTGGGACAGCTCCTCCCTGAGTGCCACCCTTTGTCCCTGACCTTGGAGAAAGGAGACAAGCCATTGCAGGGCGAGCCCCCGAATCCCCGTGTCGGTGAGGCGATGGGTGAGCAACTGGTGATCGACCATGTCGAACGCCGCCGACAGGTCTAACAACGGGAGCACCGCCGTCCCGCCCTGATCCAGGTGCCTTTGGAGATCATCTGTGAGGGCGACCAGTGCTGTCTCAGTCCTGTGGCCCGGGCGGAAGCCGGACTGAGACGGGGCTAGTGGAAGTGTCATGCAACTGTATCGCCACCGCCCTCTCTATTTAGTTTGCCCAAATAGGGCAAACTGGAAACCGGCCAATAGTTGGCCAATTCGGCCGGATCCAGAGATGGGGTTTTTTAGGAGGGGGCGGCCCATCGCTTCCTTGAGAGCCCCTGGGAATAGGCCCTTGGACAGGGACCTGTTGACAATGTCCCGAAGGGAACCTTGAAACCCCTCCCAGCCTGCTCTAATTAGCCAAGAGGGGCACGGATCAAGGCTGCAAGTGGTTGGATGCACTGTTGAAACCAATCTGTTGACTTCCTCTAGGCTGAGAGGGCCGAAGCTATCCAGAATGGGACCAGAAGTCGTGCATGGAGCCTCAAGTTCACATACTGTTTCAAATGTGGCCGGGAGGTTGAGGCGGAGCGACAAGACTTTATCTGCAAAATGGCTCGCAAAAGCCTCACAGCCTATATCCAATTCCTTAACATTTTGTCTGCTCTGTGGCAGGGTGGTTAAAAACCAAATCGTTCTATACAATCGTGCTGGGCACAAGCTTGCAGACGCACTCTCGGCCGCGTAGAACTCCTTCTTCGCGGCCTTCATTGCCATCTCATACGACTTCATAAACGTTCGATAGGATGTTCTTGACGCTTCGTTGCGAGCCCGCCGCCACTGTCTTTCTTGCCGTCTGAGCTCTCGCTTCATCAGCCTCAGCCCCTGGGTATACCAAGGTGCCAGTCTAGATCGAGGGTGCAGAGGGCATCTGGGAGCGATCTTGTCAATGGCTGCCAAGAGTCGGTTGTTCCAAGCCTCGAGTAGTTCATCTAACGAGTCACCAGGGGGCAATGGATCCTGGAGAGCCATCTGAAGCCGCAATGGGTCCATCTGGCTCCACGGGCGAGCTAAAATCGGCTCACCACCCAAACAGGGTTGGGATGACACGTTCACTCGGGCCCTCAGGGCGTAGGGGTCCAACCATGGAACTGCCATAGCAGTAATCTGGTCCACTGTGATCCCAGCCGCGAAGATCAAATCAAGCGTGTGACCGGCCTGATGAGTGGGGGCTGTTACATATTGGGAGAGTCCCAGCGCCGCCATGGACGATGCTAGGTCCACCGATCAGGAGGAGGCCACATCATCGGCATGGACATTGAAGTCCCCCAGAACCAGCAGCCTGGGGTGTTCCAGCACCCAGCCTGACACTGAAGATCTGGTAGCAGAAATGAAATCTGAAGGTTGCCCACTGTGCCAACCTTCACTGTCCCCTCTTAAACTTCTAAACTTCAAGAACTGAACTTTGCAAAATTAATTCCTAACTGTTGTCCAATAGTGCAAATTTACTGTACTCTGTCACTGTTGCCCAAGCTGAACAGTCTTCCAGCAGTCTTGCATGTAGCAAAAACTGACAGAGATCCTCACGGAGCCAAAGTCATCTGTCAGCATTAGGAATCTTGGGGGTAGAGGCAAAGCTTGCTCAAAAACACATCTTTGACAATACTATCAAACTGTTTGCTAGCCAAAGAGTTCACAATGTACCATCTCTCAATGCTGACCTCTGCTAGTTGGTTGTTAATTGGAAATGGTTTTTTGCATCCTATCCTATTGCAATGTGCACTGCCTCAATCGGGTCCCCAACGTGGTGCCTGTAGGCACCATGGCACCCACCAACACCTTTCCTGGTGTCCTACAAATCTTTCTGGAAAGTGAGTGGGGCCAGGAGGGGCTTTTGCCCACTGAAGATTTGCTTGGCTCTGCAGACTTTTTTTTAAGTTTGTTTTTGCAGCAGCTGTCAGCACAGCCTAAGGTTCTAACACTGTGTGTGACTGAAGGAAAGATGTGGCAGCCATTTTGTGGTTGGCTATGCCTCCTGCAGCAGCCAGATTGTCAGAATTCCAAAGGTTCAAAATGGTTGGGGATTCCCAGTCTAAATCATAACAAGAAGAGACTAGATTTATACCCGGCCCTTCACTCGGAGTCTCAGAGTGATCTCCTTCCCTTCCTCTCCCCACAACAGACACTCTGTGAGGTAGGTGGGGCTGAGAGAGCTTCTCAGAGAACTGCTCAAGAGAACAGCTCTGAGAGAACCTTGGCTGATCCACAGTCACCCAGTAGCTGCATATGGAGGAATGGGGAAGCAAACCTGGTTCTCCCAGATTAGAGTCCACACACTTAACCACTACACCAAACTAGTATAAGTGAAATAAGTGAAACCTGTTTAATAATTCCCTTTTTGTTTAATGTTTTTTACCTAATGAACAATTATTATTATTCTATTCATGGTAACAAGCCCACTTTTTTGACATATGGTTTGAATCAGGGGATTATATGCAGGGGGCAGATGGAATCTTTGTCTGGGGGCCCACGGTGGCTCTTGGCAGCCCTGTTTTCAGATCATGCGAAAGGAATGCAGGCTTGGTTCAGATAAGCTATAAAACTCCCCTTCTCCGGAAAGAGGAAGATAAGGGCATTGTGGCTAATTGGTAAGCACAACAAAAATAATTTCAGATTAATTTCACAAGAAGATAATTTTTCAGATATTCAGAACATAAGCTTATTCATAAAAACCAATCTGCACATGCTTCAACCCTTCAGGGAAATGACCTCTTAAAGCTGCCAAAAATCATGCATTTGTTTTTCATGAACTTTCCTTAAGTAGTCGAAAAACTATTTGTGCCCCCACTAGAAATATGCATGTGTGGTATTTAAAGAAGAGAATGCATTTGTTTTCTGTACCTTGCATTATCACACTCTTTTCTCTGTCATTCCTTTCTAAAATAATGTTTGATGAGGAGGGGTCGTGACTGAGTGGTAGAGTATTGGTTTGGCATGCAGAGTGGTCACTCCCTGGCACCTCCAGTGAAAAGGATCAGGGATTTGTTCATCTTAAAGAAGTCTACCTGGGATCCTAAAGAACCACTGCTCGTCTCAGTAGACAATACTGACTTGATGACTCAATAGTCTAATTAAGGCAGCCACTCATGTGTATGTCTACCTGCATGTGTAGAGGTAGGTGATTTTTAACATTACAGCTATATGTTAAATGCTATGTGAACATCTCACAAAGTGCTGTATAAGTATCTTCTTATGACTGAGAGAAACCAGAGCCACACATCCATATAAACCCCCCAAATATGATATATTATAGGCTTGAGCAGAAGCAGGCAAATTAGTGCCTGTGGGTCATATCTTGCCTAGTGTAGTTTTTTAATCCAGATTAAAATTTGTCTTTGCATCAGCCCTCACACTGACAGTGCCAAAGAGACAAATGTAAACATGTGCTACTCAGAAGCAATGAAGGGCTGCCTCTACTGGTAACAGAAAGAACTGGCATAACAACCTCACAAAAATACTCAGAGGAGGTGGCAGGCAGAAACCTTTGTCAATCTTTCATAGCAGGTACAGGTGGTGCAACTGGTTCATACAAGATGCTCCACCACAGTGCCAATGGTAACTGTCCCCCTGACCCTAAAATCCCTTTCCCATATCTAGAATTTGAGTTTTCGTGTCCCTCTTGCCTCAACGTTCCACATGCCACCACAGCCTTTCGCTCCCTGGCCTGTCACTCACACATTGTACCAATGGCTGCGTGGCTGCAGTACCGCCCACTCGCCCACAGAGGCAGCCGGCACCGTCTTATCTCAGTGTGCTCAAAGCCAATGGAGGGGGCAGACGGGACTCTCCCCGGGGCTGGCTGGGCTGTCCTTCCCTCCCACTCACACCGCTTGCCAACAGCCTCAAAAGGCGCCTCTTGGAAAGCCACCGTGTGAGAAGCTCGCGCCCCCGTCCAGCCCTTTACTTTCCTGCAGCTCCGCAACTCCAACCACACCACAACAGGCTGGTTGACGGCCTCTGGCTCAGCCCCACGCAGGGCAGAAAAAGTGTTCAGTCCTCCTGCTGGTACTCCCGGCTCAGTTCCACAGCCACATGGCAAGCCAGCTGTACCCCCGAGGGCCCTTGGGAAAGCTGCCCCCCCCCGGGAACTGCTGACCGCCCTTAAGATCCCGCTTCCTCTCTCCGCTGTCCCCAACACAGCTGAGACAACCAGCGCGGCGCCTGCCTGCTAGTGACTGAGGCTGCCCCCTCCCCTGCAGCGCTTGCTGCCTGCCAGCCCCAGCTCTGCTGAACATACCTCCTGTCTTCCTCCGGCCTGAAGCAGCACACCTCCCCAGCGCCTCACCCGTCTCTGCAGCACTTCTGCAGCTGCTCCCCCCCCATCGACAACCAGTGCGGAGGACTGGCAGACGGCCTGCCTCGAATGGGCGGGGGGGGGATGCACTCACACCGCTTGCCAACAGCCTCAAAAGGCGCCTCTTGGAAAGCCACCGTGTGAGAAGCTCGCGCCCCCGTCCAGCCCTTTACTTTCCTGCAGCTCCGCAACTCCAACCACACCACAACAGGCTGGTTGACGGCCTCTGGCTCAGCCCCACGCAGGGCAGAAAAAGTGTTCAGTCCTCCTGCTGGTACTCCCGGCTCAGTTCCACAGCCACATGGCAAGCCAGCTGTACCCCCGAGGGCCCTTGGGAAAGCTGCCCCCCCCCGGGAACTGCTGACCGCCCTTAAGATCCCGCTTCCTCTCTCCGCTGTCCCCAACACAGCTGAGACAACCAGCGCGGCGCCTGCCTGCTAGTGACTGAGGCTGCCCCCTCCCCTGCAGCGCTTGCTGCCTGCCAGCCCCAGCTCTGCTGAACATACCTCCTGTCTTCCTCCGGCCTGAAGCAGCACACCTCCCCAGCGCCTCACCCGTCTCTGCAGCACTTCTGCAGCTGCTCCCCCCCCCATCGACAACCAGTGTGGAGGACAGGCAGATGGCCTGCCTCGAACGGGGATGAGCCCGGCCACCTTGGCCTGCTGCCGCCTCCATTGGGTCAGGGGGAGGAACGAGCCTGGCCAGTTTGCCCCACCGGTGCCGCGAATGGGTGGGGGGGAGGGGTGAACCCAGCCACCTTGGCCCGCCGGGCCCCCCAGCGCGCAGTGCGGAGAGGGACGGGGCTGTGTGCCTTGGCCCACTGGTCCCTTGATCAGCCGGGGGTGCGTGGGTGGCTGGCTGGCTTGGCCCGCCGGGTACTTGAGCAGCCGGGGGGGCGGGGAAGGAGACGGGGGCCCGCAGCTGGGAGGCCAGGCTAGCGGCCGTTGTCTTCATTGCTACAACAGGCCTGATTCCTAGTACATTGAATAAAACTTTGTTGATTAGGTGCCACTGGACTCAAACTCTATATTTAGATTACGTTAAGGAATGTGTTTCACTAGTCAGATGTCTTTATGGCTTTTATTTCTTTTTGCCTTTGTGTTTTGCCCAAGTCAACCAATTCCCTGATTTAAGGCTGAATTTATCCCAATTCTGCCCATACTTTCCTATTTCTGTCTTTTCAGTTCTGGAATGAATTACTGCTATGTATAAGCATCCGTCCCTTAACCTAATCAGTATCATTCTCTCAGGGAAGGAAGGTGGTTTTAAATTTCCTTCAGAGGTTTTCTTCTCCAAGGGCCCCTCAGACTGTAGGAGGCAACTTGTCAAAGTCACAGCTCACCATAACAAGGTGAGGAACAGCACCTTTCCCTAAGCATCTGGTGCTGATAACGGCGAAAATCTCTCTTATATGTTACATGGTTTGTTTAAAGCCATCTTGTGCACATATTGAAGACAAAGTGTAAATATTGCAAAGACCAAAAAAAGAAAAATGATCCAGTTATGTCTATTATTCTACACCCTAACAAACCCCTTCTCCATCTTCAGCTGCTAATTATATAGGACACAAACAACAAAAATTAAAATGGGTGGGTCCCACCTTGTCTGATCGTGAAGGATGTTATCTTAATATAATTTTACAGCAACATTTTATTCTAGTTAACTGTATAAGAAGGTCACTGAATCCTGTTGCATCAGTTTAACTATAGAATAGTACAACATAATGCACTGTTTGAAGAAATATACAATGTTTTAAAAGCTGTTATCTGGAAACAAAATAGGATTTGGTACTCTATGTGTCTTGCCAACTTTTTAAACCATTCCATGAAAAGAATGTTAATGTGAAGTTAAGCAGCTCTACAATATATATATCACAGACATCAACAGATGATAGATTCATTGAGATTCACCCTTGCAATACATTTTAAAATGTATTTCAAACAGCCAAAGCAAGCTCTAAAAGTCAGTCTTTACATAATTTCACTAACCTGAATGGGAGGGATATCTGGCAGAGAAGGAAGGTTTTCTGGGTTTGTTACAGAAGGAATAAGTTCTATTGCTGCTACAGATGGGCTTGTTGGGCCACGGTTAGCATTGGCCATTGTGGCTGTTGTAGGGCTTGTTGGGTTGATAGTATTATTGTGCACTGAAACAACTGGAAAAGGGCCAGCATGCCCTGGGTTTGAATGCTGCTGGGGAAAAGGAGGGGAAAGGGGGAAGAGCAGATTATGACGATGATAAAAGGAACGAAGTACTTATTTCAGGTGTAAACTGTAGGCTTTCAAAAGGCATGCTCATTACTACCATTCAATTCTTTGTACTTTCCAGTAGTACATAATTATAGTGATATACTTAAGCATTTCATTTGCTAAATTTCATTTGCTAAAGGGTTTGCAGTAATCAAACTGAGCTTTTTATCCTAATTTCTGTAACCAGATTGTGAAACAAATTATTCCCATGTCAACATGTTGACATATAAACCAACATGAAGTTGCAAACAAGCATGTACCTTGTTAAACTTCCCATTAATTTGAAACCTGAGCATGCTGCCAGCAAGACTTAAGGTGCCTTACAAAATTCATATCATTCAGTTGCTTTAAATAAGTAACACAGAAAAAGGTGGGCAAACTACTCTTTCAAAGAGATTTCCCAGCTAAAATATACTGATATAAAACAGAAACCACATGTCTGAATGAAAGGTGGGAAAACAAAGTGTGCACACAGCATATACTTGTCTTTGTAAGTGCGGCTGCATCATGGAGTACTGGGGCCCATTGTGCCGTGGTATCCCTGGGAGACGAGCAGCATTCTGAGCCATTCTCATCTGGTGGGCTTGGAAAGCACCGCAATTCATACTCCGCTGCATGGTCTGCATACTTATCAATCTAGGAGGCTGCAAAAGATTATGTATTTTAAAATTCTTGCTTGAGATTAAGAAAAAAAAAAGTATTCCCTTACCCCAAGAGAAATAAATGCCAATTTTATTTTACATGCCAGCCAGGTAAGCTACCCTGAATTTCTATTGACTCGCTGCATTTAAGGAAACAATTTCCTGTATAATCTTTAAATCTATTCAGTGTCTATGTCAGAGGCCTGCCTTACTGTCTATAATGAGTTGAAAATTAAGACAGTCTGAAAACTTGCCTGTTGCTGTAGCATCTGTGGGCCTGCCTGACGGGGGAGCTGCCCTGCCGGCTGCCCCATCCTCATCTGTTGTAACTGCTGGTGTTTTTGTGCGTACACCTGCTGTTGCATATGCTGGAGCCGAAGTTGTGCAAGATTAATTTGCCCTGGAGGTTTGCTGATGTGGTTGGTTCCTGGGGGAACTTGTCCCACTACTACATTAGGAGTGTAACCTTGGGTTGGTTTATTTTCAATAACAAGATTACCTAAACAACAGGAGAGAGAGCTGGTTAACTAAGCAGCCTTTATTTTACCTCTGTGAAAAGAAAGTTTAAATTTTCTTATTTCCTGGTTTCACAAAATGTAAAGGCATAAACTCCTAAAGGCACATAGGCCACCAAATGTATTTTAAATAAAACATTAAGAAACTTTTAAAATTATATTAAAATTGCTTACTGAGCTTATATTAAAAGTACTGGTGCTGATATATCCATCCCTCACCAACAATTTCTGTTGAAAAAAATGTATTTTCATAGTATACATGTCATTTTCTATAAATTGTGTAACTAAAGAAAAATGCCTTTACACTAATTTCTTGTTTGGTTAAATAAACTGATTTAATTTTATATTGTTACTTTATTTTAATCCTTCCAGATGGTTATAAAAGGGAGATTTAATTTTGAAGAGTATTTTCTGTTCTTCTTCTCTCACTTCAATATAATGTTAATCTTTACATTAATACAAAATCCCATAATATCTATAACCTTTGTTTTATTAAGTGCATTTTGTATTTGAAGTGTGGTGCTTTTTAGCATTTTGTAGTTTTTAAAAGTCAGGAAATAAAATTCATATGTTAAAACATCCAAGCTCACTACCTTCACATTTTAAGAACATCTGGTATTTCAACAGATCTATCCATGATCACTCTCTAGCTCCCACTAACAGTTTTGCAACTGTTATTAGTTCAAAATTTGTTCCATATCAGACACATTAAGATTATGTGCTAGAACGTACATCTATGATCTAAAATGGGTCTCTTCCCAACACACTTTCTAGTTTGCTGTTTCCTTGATACACCATCTTCTACATTATTGAAATCCAATAATTGCTTTGAATTATTGTCAGTTATTTCAAATTGTCTATACAGATATCTTAGCTTGCTTGTTAGCTATTGTTTACCAACAGATATCTTAGCTTGCTGATTAGCTATTGTTTACCAACACTTTGTTAAATTTTCTCATAACACCATATGATCTAGTCTTGCAGCAAGTCTAAAATATATCTTTATAAAAACTAGGCTTGGACCCAGAGAACCATGGACCTTTTTGCCGTCCTCTTCTTGCTGCAGCACTGTCATGGGAAGCACACAGGACTGCAGTGAGAAGAGGGAATCTGCCCTAACACTCATGCAAAAGCAAGCCTAGGTGTGTTATGAAAACAGGTAATAAATCTATTTTCATTGAATGAAAAAAGTCTGAAATTCATTATGTTTTTTGTAAGCGGCGCTGGAGCCAAAGCAGTATTTCTACTGTATCACTGGTTATCATGATGGGAGATCTAACAATGGATTAGTTTACTACAGAATTTGACAATGACACTTGTGGAGAAATGCCCTCCACCCTAGAACTCACCCCAATATTTCAGCTATTGGGACCACACTCTGTTTTTGAGTTGGAACCCAGCTGCAAATTAGTAATTGGCAGAGTGGATGGGGGCCATCAAGCCCCAAGCACACAGTACTTTAGGGCTTACACATGCTAATATATTTGGCCTAAGTAGGACAATGGCTTGCCATCTCACACCTTACTGGAATGCCATAACTAAGAGGGACAGAGACTGGACAGAGACTTCCTTTTGAGACAGGAACCCTGGGGGTGGGGGGACAGACTATGTGCACACTTTGTTTTTATTAACTTTCTTATCCTTTGACTGTTTAAGCCTTGTCTCTAAGCACAACATGCCTGTTCAGTCTTGCTATGTGTTGTGTGATAATGGGGAGGAGCAGTGGGTAAGCTTGCCATTCCTTGAGCATGACAGCTCAAAACTGAGAAAGCACAATTGATTGTCTACATGCTAGCTTGCAGGAATAAAGGAGAGCCAGTTTGGTGTAGTGGTTAGGTGTGCGGACTCTAATCTGGGAGAACCGGGCTTGATTCCCCACTCCTCCACTTGCAGCTGCTGGATGACCTTGGGCAAGCCATAGTTCTGACAAGAGCTGTCCTTGAAAGGGCAGTTTCTGAAAGAGCTCTCTCAGCCCCACCTACCTCACAGGGTGTCTGTTATGAAGGGCGGGGTAGAAATCCAATCTCTTCTTCTTCTTCTAAGTGAAGGCTCTAAACAGCAATAGGACTATAGAGTGCCAGATGTGAAAATCCATCCAGCAGATTTGCTGGTGGTGGTGATTACGAACCAGTTTGATTTTGGCACGTCCCTTGGGAGTAAAGGAAGGGGTCAAGGTGGAGCAAAGATTGGGAGTAGCCACAGGGTTTTCCAACTTTCCTTAAATCTGAAGGAACAGGGGAACCTGCCTCTTCATAGGTCTCCCATAAGGACTCTGCTGTTTTCGAAGTTTCAAAACTCTCCAGGAACGCTGATGTCTTATCCTAGTCATATGCATTTGTTGAAGTGTGCACTCATCACTATTAATTCTAAGATTTTTGTGTTTCTTTTGCCATTTTCCAAGTTTTCATTCGTTTCTAACACCCTGCTTAGTTTCTAATGTCCACACCCAGTCTAAAGTACAACAAGAAGATCTCTATCTACCCTTGTAGAAAAGAAAAATTTCCAGAAACACTCTCTCATAGCACTGAACAAGCTGCTACAAAGCTTGAGGAACCTCACGTGCCCTCTAACACAAAGGGACAGGTTGCTGCTGGGGAAGACCATGGGAGACATCTAGCATGTATATGTAAGCCCTTGAAGGCATCTAAAAACTCTTAATTATTAGCTTATCATTTTGTTCTATTCTTTTAGGTTTGCTGAAACCATGAAGTATATACATTTACCATGTACGGGGACTTTAATACAAAAATATAAAGCAAAAAAATTGGGATGTGTACATTATTGTCAGATTTCTTATTTTCCCTAGACTAGTGTCTCTAATTTGGTGCTAGCGAGCTTCTCTACTCCAAGGAGCTCACACACCTTGTTTCTCCATTGCGTCACTGAAGGAATCTTCTGATTTCCATGTTTTTGCTAATTTTAAATTTGCTGCTGTAAGAAAGGATAGCAAATCTTTATAAACTAAAAGCTCACTGTGCCCATATACAGAATTAGCAACATTATTTTGGAAGCTGGCACCTATTATCTGCTTTGCAAAACATCCAGCACTTATTAACTAAAGACCTGTAAAACTTTTTAGTCCATTTTAAGGAGGCACCCACACTGCTAGGTATACAGGGCAAACTCTAGGCTACATTTTTCCATTTATTTCCACTGCTTTCCCCTTTCTCCTTCACAAATGAAAAACAGATGTCTCACATGAACTGTAGTGAGACTTATAGAGATATATAGAATTGACTTAAGATTATTTTCCATCTCAAGTAAACTTACTGATCACAAACCACGACTTAAGAGAAGAGAATGACCATTACAGTATGTGGAAATGCCACTTATTTATAGAGGTCAGACCTGAAAAACAGCCCCCATACTCCATTCTTCTCTCTTTTTCTCTCATGATCCTCCCCCCTCCCTTCTACTAGCCACTCACCACCCTTGCTAACATCATAGGGCTTTCACAGAAATCTGTGCCAGCTATGTAGGGCCTGAAAAAGAATTCCTTATAATCCAGCACTGCTATCTTCAAGCATGAAACACCAGGGCACTGCCACCTATTAAGAAGGCTCAGTTTCCAAGGGAACATCCAAACAGTAAATGGAACTACTTTAAGGATCACATGCAAAGTACAAGCAGGAGAAAGGCATCGAGGGAGTAGCTGCATATCAATCAAAGCTATGGCCCTTAATCCAATTCCTCCATACGCAGGTGGAAGGAACTTTCCTGCACATTTGGCAAGGCATTCCCCACCCCAATGAGGCCCCTTGAAAAATTATTCTGAACAGTGGTGGGATGGGGGCCCACTGGAATGTGGAGCAGAAAAGTCATCCCAGAGAACTCCCTAATATTGTTTTGGACACAACTACTATCACCAAATCTAGTACAGAAACTGTCTATTCATACCACTGATCAAAGAAAGAATTTTTACATATTAAATTCAGCTTTCAGAGAAATGGAACACCCTCTCACCTAAGTTGACTACATTCTTTGCCCAGAATGTGGGATCACAATGGAAGCGTATTGCTCCATTAGCAGCTGGGACGGGATCACATCGTGCTTTTAAAATATGTCGCAGCTGGAACGTGATCTGTGAGAAGACAAACACTCTAAGATTAGTGATGACATGGTGCAAAGAGTCAACAGACAAAGTTGACATAAATCATGAACTGGGTGGGTCTGGGCAAGTCACACTACCTTTCATTCTAACCCATCTCAAAAGGTTTGGGGTAAAGTTATTGCCTCAGTTTGAGACCCCTGGAGGAACAGCAGGATACAAAGGTCAAAATACAATCATAGAGAGTACTCTTCCTAAAACACAAGGAAAGGTAGCTTCTAGAACAAAAGTTTATTTTAGAACTATTACCTTTTAATATATACCAGACATTAACTGTATATACTTTCAAATAATTTCATGTAAAACAAATAACAGATCTCACAACTATTCCATAACAGAAAGCAAACCATGCAATCTGAAAAGGTTTATCTCAAGGTAAAGCTTCTAAACTCATTGCAAACTCTGATTTATTTACGATGATGATGAAAGAGCAAGCCCCTAGCAGTTAGAGCTATACCTTGAGAAACCAGCTGCTTTATAACTTTTACACAAGATTGTGCAAATATGAAGATTCAAATCCCCTAGCAATTTTAAAGTTATTGATATTTTACTGAAATTTTAAAATTACTGAAATTTTATGCATAAAGAAGTGATATTTCACTTGCTTACTAGAAAATCTTTTTATTAACTGTCTAGAGAACATTTAAACCACAGGATCATTTTCCTACTAGAAACCCACAACGTAAGTAAGCTGGGTTTCAGGTTTAATTAGTTCTTCTGGAACATGACAGAAGTGCTCTTGCTGTAACCTCTAACTCCTGTGCTAAAAACATAAAATACTGCATTTCCTGCCTGGCACTCAAACGGAGTTGCAACATCTACTGAAGAAGATGGGGTTAAACACAAAGCTTAGATCCTATGGAGCATACATATAAGGACACACATGGACTCAATACTTTCCCATCCTCCCCTTTCCAACAGCAAACCCAAGACCTCCAAAACACTGATGCTGAAGGTTGCAGGACTTGCAGACAAAAAGTACAGAGAAGGAATCAGGCTCGTATGGCTCCTGTGCCAATGGAATTTCTTGCATTCATAGAAGCACTGTTGACAGAAGCGGAGGGTTATTTTGCAAGGTTACCACTCACTGCAGCCTCCCCATGAAATGTGACTTTTAATCTATGCAAGTCTCCTAAACTCCAGCATCAGTGTTTGACAGGAAACAAGCATGTTGTAGATCCATAAACCAAACAATTCATAGCAATTCCTGACAGTGACCTAAGGTAGTGCACAAAGACAATCATGACGTTCAGTTTCAGCACATGAACGCAGAGGAGGAATTCAGGATTCCAAATAATCTCTTGCAACTCAACTGACCAATACAGGGACTAGTTCAGCCCCCAGAAAAACTACCACCTACATCAACTCTTGTACAAACATGAGAATGAGTAGCAGATCAAGACCCACAACCTCTGTTAGAAAGGGGAGGACAGACTACCACACTTCACTTCAAAAGCTAGAGCTTCAAGTATATGGTGATATTATTTTTGGCAATGTAAACGTAAAGGCTACTCCACCAACAAAAAGACGTCAAATTCTACAGTGACGTAAATACCAAGTTCACAGTAAAACATACGTGGAAAACATTTTCCAAAAACAAGTAAATTTCCAGTAATCTTTAAAAATATATATAAGATGAAGCGAAGAGTGAGTTCCCTTTTTGCCTGCATCTTACTGGGTTTTCAAAATCCACACTGGGTAAAGAGTTTGAATGTTTCTTACCAGTCGCTTGCTATAAAGCAGGGCAGTGCTACTGCCACTTGCAATAGCCCAATTGGTAAAGTTCATCACATGTTTCACCTGCCGTGACAGGCCACTGATATCATTCTGCTGTTGTATTAGTTTTATCTGTCTCTCTTTTGTCACAGTCTGAAAAGAAAAAGCATACAATGGATAACATTTAAAACATCCAGTGTAATAATTAATAATAATTAAAATTCTAGCTATACAATACTGAAGAACTGAGGCATAAGTGTTCCTGTAGTAATACTACATATATCTGGCAGTTACACTTCTGAATGGTATGCTGCAGTAACACTGTGATTAATGGGAAGCTAGAGACAGAGTATTCTGAACGAAATTTATCTGCAAGACTGACATTCACAAATGTGTTCTAATAAAAACCTGATGGCACTGTCAATGACTAAATATGTTCTTTTATAAAATTCTACTTCAACATTTTTTATTTAAAAGCAATAAGGAGATCCAAAGAGTGTGCTCAAGAGTAGATCCACAACGTATCACAAACCGCTTTTGAACATCCCTTCAGTTTCAAAAACAATTTTCTATGTGGCATGAGGCACTACTGGCCACACACAAGGTTTATAGTTGTCTTATCCCCAAACCCTCACAGCAGTTCTTGAAATACTAGCCCCCAGCTTTTGAAGTCAAGAGCTTCAACTGAGAAGCAGTCTCAGGTACCCAGGAATTGAAAGAGGCTATTTTTCCTCGGTAACAAATATTTGCTTTTCACTTCCCAATCATTCCATAAAATATACTATCAACTTAATTTTTATACACACACACACTTTCATACTGAAAAGATGCTCAAAATGGCTCTCAAAAAAACTAAACATCAGAAACCAATAAAAGTATTGCCACTGCTGTAGCTTATTACTCTCTCTTGTTCCACAGTACAGCTTCATTTAGGGCAAGCTGGTAGCCAAATATTTTGACAGAATCTAGGATTTCTATAAGTGCCCACTGCCTGACAATGAACAAGTGGCAATTCTTAGCACTCAGGTTAACTAGCTGTCAGCTCCCTATAACAGGGACCATCATCGCTCTTTTCTTGTTCCATCTATGCTGGTTTCCAATTTGTTTCCAGACCCAATTCAAGATGCTGGTTCTGATTTTAAATCCCCATACACAACAAAACTGTAGAACTCCCTTCCCTCAAGTAACAATCTAAAGGCAAACAAACCACTTAACCTATTCAGGGGACCACATGTTACATGGATTATCAAAAGCTGCAATGGGGAGCTGTACTGATTTTGAGATCAGAATATTCTAGACTGAGTAAAATTAATCTGTGGCACACTCATAACATAATCCTAAACAGAATTACACTCTTCTAAGCCTATTGACTTTAACTGATTTAGACCGGTGTAGCTCTGCTGAAGATGGCACTGTCAGAAATTAATATGTATCACACTCAGCAATATTATCCTAGCTACCATCTATGCATTTAAAACATATCCAAATGAGGCCAACTAGGGAAAAACGTTTCTAAAAGCAAACTTTATTAATAGATTGCTGGACACTTATAATAAACTGACCCCTATACAAAAGAGGAGATAGGGTTATCTGTATTTACCAGCATTAGAAGACACTTAATCTGAAGAGCAAAAGAACCACAAGAAATATATCTTGTATTCAACAAAACTTTAATGCAGTGTAAGAGAGAAAGCAGTGTACTTAAAAATCATGTTTTCAAACACCTTTTGCTATCTGCAAGTTTCATTGCATGAATTTTTACAATCCATGTAAATATGATTAGGCTAAGAACAGGAATACTGATAAAATTCATGATTACACTACCAAGCCTTAGTGGGGCATCCAAAAAAAGCCAAAAAACATGTGAAGTACACAGAAGGGTTCATTCTCTGGATCTTAGCTGTACCTCAAGCTGCTGTAAGAGAGATTTTCCTTTTTTATTGATTTCATTAATCAGGGTAAAAATAGCAACTTTGATTTCCTGTTCTACTCGTTTGTTAGTTTCATTCACTTCTTTTATCCTGGAAAAGAAAAATATGTTGTCAGGCAATAATATTAGATCTCTTGTGTTACTTTCATGGAAGTAAAAATTCACCATACTGCATAGCATGATGTAATTCTGCAACTAAAATAAAAAAATACACTGCAACAGCCACTCATCCTTTTAAAAAAGGCATCTGGAATAGGTTTTTTTTTTACAATATAATCTAACTACCTGAAGGTCTTAAATGTCCAGCACATGTTGAATTTTGATACATATGTTATGAAATGTTTATTCTGCTTCCAATGTTCTTAAAAAAAATAAATCAGAGTAGCGCGAACTTAATCCAAGAGAAATTGTTCATTTAATCGTAGTGACAATTTGCTATTTCAGCTGGCCAATTTGCAGCTCATCTACTTGCTTGAAGCAAGGAGCAATTGCACTTTAAAATCTTTCCATAGTAATGTGCTACTGGGGCGTCAAAACAGAATGCAGAACCATGATTTCTGACCTCAAACTTTCTCCATCTCTGCCTTTAGTTTTAAGAAGCCAATGAGGCCACCTGAAATTAGCAACATTGTTTAGGACACAGAACAACACTCCTGGTCAAAGCTGCCCTCACTTTCCTCCTCAAAGTGTACAGACATGGGTGTGTAACGGCATAAGGCCCATCCGTTGTACCAGCTGAGTTGCCACAGTACTCTGTTACAGCACTGAAATAGGAAAATGGAGAAGACAGGGTGAGTAAAGCAGGACATGTATATGGAAGGCGATGTTATATGTAGACAAGGCTAGAGTGTATGTTCTGTTTTCTCCCTCAGCAACGTTTCATTACACCCAATCCATACAAGAGCCAGAGCAGTAGCAGATACTCTGGACTCAAATAAGTACCACTTAGTCCAGAAGTCCAAGCTTTGGCAAACATGCAAGCTCTTCTGGAGTTCAGAGCAAGGGTAACTGGTGCCAACACAAAACAGCTGCCCAAGGTAGGCCAAAGCACTGGGTGATTCCCAGCCAAATACTGTCCAAGAATGAGGGCATCTACTTCCAAATGAGAGTTCCCTGCAGACAAAACAGCAATACTCCCAGGCACTGTTCCCTCTAAGCTATGCGCGTGAGCTCATTAACACAGGAGGCCCTGCTTAGATGCAACTCTCGCACTACCCATTGCCCATTTTAAGATTACAGCAGTTATATTCTGCTCGGGACATGAACTGCTCTCTTCAGAAGGGAAGAAAAATTAGACGGAACATTGCCCCCAGGCTGTTCTATGTGATGGTGCAGTGCTTGCGGATATGCATGCATTTCCACAGAACTAAATGCATTCTGTTGTCACTCATATAGTAGGCTTTTGTGAATCAGGTACAGCAAATTTTGCCTGCTAACAATCAAAGTGACTGACATCTGGTGCTCAGCTTGCAAAGGAGGAAATCTGAGCAGCTCTGTAGACTGATTTGTCTTAAAATAAACATTGTTATGAAAAATTCACCATCACTTACCTATTTTGCACCTGAGTAGCTGCAAAGTTAACATAATTCTTCTTTTCGAGGAGTTTGGCTAACAGATTTTCAATAGCACCTTTTTGATTTTGAAATGCTTCTTCCAAAAACTGATACCTTTCCAAACGAGAAAACAAAATACAATGTAGCCGCACTGCAGCAAGAAAATCCAATTCAAACATGTTTGGTAATGATAAAGGGGTAGTTATACAAAAGCACTAGTAAGACAGACTTTAAAAACAGATTTGTTATAACTGACTGCTGGCGGCTCCAGAGCATCATCATCATATTTTACTTATGGAATGCCTACCTACCAGGCACTGTATAAAAAATTTTAACACAACCTTTTTTGCAACATAACAATTCATGATAACAATTTGATGAGTTTCTCCTGCAGATAAATAGTCAATAGCAAAATCTAGGCCTTTCCCTTTGAAGCCAGTTTTAGGTGGTTAGAGGTGGGGAAGGGTCTTCTTAAAGCTGTATTAATGATACAGGAGAATCTGCACATTAAACAGTAATTTTGCTCTGCTGCAGCCTAAAGACTATCTGAAAAGCAAACAGTTCTGTAATGATACACTAAAAGATCCCAATATGCACATTTTCATTTTCGTCACTAAACACCTAAAATACACTTGTACATTAGAGCAAATAAATCACTGCCCAGCTAATCACCCAGGTTTCAAATATTACTATTCACATTTCTGCATAGCCTCAGATTTTAAGACCCCATGTTCTTTAATATTTCTTCCACTGTAGCAAAATAAAGCAGTTCTCAAAACCAACATAAATACTGTTTGCAATATTATACTTTGCAATGACTACTTATTCAGAAGTAACCTAAGCTAAGCATCAAATATCACAAGCAACACTCCCTACTGGAAACTTTGCCACTTTACAACTATTCAACATTACATCAATCTATAAACTGAACTTATATAATAGTTTAATGATTGCTAAAATGACAGTATTGATGCTGATTCCATCAGCTGATTGATAAAGTTTCTGAAACAGGCTAAAGTCAATCTACTGAAAGACTACATGAGAGCTCTGACAATCTGCCACCCTCATTTGCTGTTACCCTTATTTCGCTCTGCTTACCAGACCTGCCCAACTAGGCACTCCTGGAAGTGCCATAATCTCATTTTTAGTCTGCAAAATTTGTCAAGTAAATGGTTAACTGATTAAAACCCATGTGAACTATTATAGGTACCTCTAGTTAGGCACACAAAGGAGAGAAGTATTCTAAGATGTATGATTGAAAACAGTTTTTCTTCAAATTCATTTATATGCAGGTTTAATAGATTAACTGAAGCTTATGACTTATTTAATTAGAAGATACTGCTACCACAAGAATGAGCATTTAGAAAGAGCCCAATGTACTACCTCCAAGTCTTTTTGACTGCCAGAGTAGGAAAACAAAAAGGGATAACTTCTTAAAATTCATCTGCTCTGAGAAAGGAAAGCATGTAAGACAAGAATATTATACCTATGTTCTTTGTGTTCCAATAATTGGCAGTCTCTGCATGTCAATCTGTCACAGGTCTCACAAAAAAGTTTTAGCTGTTCTTGTTTGTGGACAGGACAAAACACATGACGTTGACCAGATGCTCCAACAGCCTCTGCATTAAGGGGAAAAGATGCATCAAAATGGGTTCAAGAGTCAAAAGCTCAAGAAAAACCAATTTTAGGATATAGTTTCCCATTGCAGAGACACAGACAGCTGGCTAGAAGGAACAGAAGTCCCTTGATCCAGCCTTCATTGTCCTTTCCCCCACTTAATCATTCCAGCAATTTACCCTCACAAAAACTCATTTCCCCCTCTCCCTGACACACTGCCAACATTGTGGCCTCTCCATTATAGGTCTCTTCTCCTACCACACAGCCTGAAGGCTGTAATGGTGGTGGTAACTTCTCATGACTAAATTCTGCCAGTTCTACCCACTCTGTCCTACTGCTTGTTACCCTTTAAACTCATTCTAACAAAGCTGCTCACTCCCATTTATATTTCAAGTCCTGCTGGTCCTACTGTGCCCCGGCCTCCCTTTCAACTTTCGCCTCATACTTTGATTTCTGGATTGTCTTCTTTCCTGCATATATTCCTATCTCTCTCCTTGATTTCAAGGTTCATTTGATAATCTATTTAAGCCTCCTACCTGTCTTCTCCTTCCCAAAGCCAACTTCTTTGAACCAATGCCTCACATACTTCACCTTTTCTTCAGCAAGAACCATCCTGACCATCAATATTATCTCCTTTAATGCCACATCTACCCATAACCTACCTGCAGTGGCTGTCACAAAAGTGTTGTCCCCTGCTCTCTGTTTCACCTACTTCATGCAGTTTTCCCTTGTCCCAATCTGTGCTGCATGAGCTGCACTGGCTTCCAGTGGAGCACTGGATCCGGTTCAAGGTTCTGGTTTTGACTTTTAAGGCCATAAGCAGTCAGAGGCCCACATACCTTCAGGACCACCTATCTCAATATGTCCCTGGAATAGCATTATACTCTAGCAATAAGAACCTTCTGCTGGTCCCTGGCCCGAGAGAGATCCGGGTGTCCTCGACTAGTTCCGCCCGGCTGTACTCATCTAGTTCCACCTGGTGGAACTCTCTGCCAGAGAACATCCGTGCCCTACGGGATTTACTTCCTTTCCATAGGGCTTGTAAGGCAGAGATGTTCCTCCAGACATTTGGTTGAGGACAGCAACGGTCTGGCATTCTCCCACTTCAACCCCCCCCCTTTATTCTGCATATCCCCTCCACCCAGGGGGCTGGTGGAAAGTACTGTCATCTTGGAGTTAATGTTGTTTTTGGCTGATTTTTAACTATTTTAATGCTGTTTTAACTCAATATTATTGTATTTATTTCTGATGTAAACTGCCCTGTGCCCTATTCGCAGGGAAGGGCGGCCAGCAACTCGAATATAATAATAAATAAATAACTCCTCACTTATCTGCCCTGCTCTCCCAACCTTCTACTCCCCCTGCAAACTCACACATTACATTCAATATCTCTGTTCACATTCTTGGGTAGCTCAATTTGTTTTTTCATTATTGATTTAAATATTTATTTCCAGCACTCTCTACAGTCTACCCAAGGCAAATAAACTCATCCTTCTTCCCCTTTGCCATCTTGCTAAGCAACACTGTTAGATCCCACTGACCTACACCAGCTCTAGAAATCCTCAGTGCTTCTCCACCACCTCCTCTTGATTCCCTGCAATGTTGCTTCCACCCATATTTCTAAACATGAGATTAGTACAAACAGAATAAAATCTGCAATTACAGACATTTCTGAAATGACACATTCAGTTTTCTGGCTTCATCAAAAAGCAAGCTCAGTACATGCAGTTCATATTTTACCAAAGCTTGGAAATGACTTAGCAGCATCAACGTTCAACATATAACGTAATTTAGTTACAACTTTATTGAAACAGATAGTAACTCAAACGTTAGAAGCAGAAATTTTACCTGAAGAAACATCTTCCTTCTTTCTGATCATGTGATCCTTAGTAAATTTTACTCGCTGATGAGCTTCTATGCATGTTTTGCACAGCCATTCTCCACATTCTACACAGAAACCAACAGCACTGGAATTATCTTCACAGCTGGTACACACCTGAAAGCAAGAAAAAATAATTACAAAGACTTATTTTTATATGCTGTAACTCTGACACAGAATGCCATATCTGAGACATGGAATGCTGGTCTAGCACTACTAAATTACATTATCTATGCAAATTACACACCAAGTAAAAAGTAATGGTAAACCATACCTGTTCAGATTTCTCATCAGAGCTGCTTGGTACTTCAGATGTGTCTTTCACAAAGTAATTATCTACCAAATCTATTTGTCTGCATTCCTGGCGACAGATTGGACACCTGATCACACCAACTGCAAACAAAAGAGGAAACTGCTTATACTTCTCTGCTCTCAACTCAGAACAGTTCAACACATCATCAGTGATTTACAACCTCAACTAGATAATGACAGCTCTCTTTCTCAAGTATTGATAGGCTAACCTTTTCTTCTGCACAGACAGCCCCCCAATCTCAAACAACTCCTCACCCACAATAATGCAACATCTAATTTGAACATGGACACTGGTACCAGAGCTAGGAGTAAACCCAGATGCCAACTTTGCTGCCATATACACCTAGACAACACAATTGCTGGACCTAAAAACATCAACTACACCATCGCAGGCTCATTCACATGCTCATCGTCTAACTGTATATGCCATTCAATGGCAAAAATGCCCTTCAGTTCTCTATATAAAGCAAACAGGTCAAACCCTACGCTAAAGGATAAATGGATACAAATCTGACATCAAGAATCACAAAACTGAGAAACCTGTAGGAGAACATTTCAACCTCCCAGGGCACTTAATGGGGGAACCTCAAAGTAGCTGTTTTATTGCAGAAGCATTTCAGAAAGAGACTGGAACAGGAGATTGCTGAATTACAAGTTATTACAATGCTAAGGACAATGGAACCCCCAGGGCTTAAAAGAGATATCTCACTGCACATGCTAAGTCACTCAGCTCACTTAAAGGTGCCACTAGACTCAAACTTAGTTCTCACATCTGTTATTAACTCTTCTATTATCTGTATGTTAATTTGTTGCTATTCACAGATCTTACCAACTGCATCATTCCAATCTTAGCTGTAACTTACGCATCCTGACTCTAATTAGTCTTTCCTGGCAACTACACCCCTCCCCATATGTAATGCTTGAGGAAATATGTTTCAATGTATCTGAAGAAGTGTGTATCTAACACAAGCTAAGTCTCCCAGTTCTCACTTATTCCCATGATGCCGAACTTAGTGCAGACACCCAGTTGGCACAGCCCGCTGCAGCCCAGAGCTTCTGAGCTCACGCAATCCACCAGCCTCAACCTCCCCAGCAGCCGGGATTACAGGCTCCTGGTGCTACATCTAGAATTGGTCTTGGAGCTGCCACTGGACTCAAACTTAGATCTCACATCTGTTTGTTAACTCTTGTATTTGTACGTTAATTTTCTGCCATTCACAGGTCTTACCAATTGCTTTAATCCAATCTCAGCTATATTTATTGCCCAGTTACTTATGCATCTTGACTCTAACTAGCCTTTCCTGGCAACCTGAACCCCCCCCCTTTACCTATATGAAAGGCTTGAGGAAATCTGTTTCAATGTATCTGAAAAAGTGTGCGTGCACAGGGAAGCTTATAGTCAGATCGTAATCACGGATTTTGTTGAATTGTTGCAGAGTCATTATATATGCTGCAATGTATCTATACCAAAATTTAAAATAAATTATTCCACTGGGGCAGAGTCATGTCTTTCCAAAAGTTTGAGCTCATTCTTAGTGCTATAGATTGAGATGTATTGTACCCACAACAGCCATTTGAAGCTCAAATTTGCTTTCAAAAAGTAAAGGGTAGTATGCCAAAATAAGCAGAAATACAGAAAAAAAAAATCTTAAAATCCCCGTAGGGATATTTTTTATTTTGCATTTACTACAAAGTACAAAGAAATATAGGGGAGGGACTACAACTAAGGAGAAAGAAAAGCAAACCACACTAAACTAAAACCCCAAGAGGAGGAGATCTTTCCACTGTTAGTAAATATGTTAGTATAATTAGTTTTATTATCACAATATACTTGTTGAGTTCTTGCTTATAACAGTTTGCTTCTTATATGTTATTTTGTTAGTTGTTATGAGAGAAGTCTCTGATCATCTTCTTATTCTTCATTTCAAAAGGCCATTTTCCAAGTCCTTCTGCCTTTACTTCGGCTTTCTATCTCTAAAATCATATACCACTCTAGCAGGTCCCGCATCCTTTTCTGCCGCAGAATCCTCTTCTGTTCCCGAGGTAGCAGAGTCACTCAACTTCGATTCTCCCTCTTTGGACTCATCATCTGTCCCCAACTGGCATTTCAAAAATTCTTTAACTTTAAAAGTGGAGTCTATCTTCTCTCTTCTATCGTTGATCTTAAAGATGACACCCTCCGGGACCGCCTATCTGTACAATATTCCATCAGTTTGAAGAAAAGAAATTAATTCCTTGTAATTTTTCCTCTTTTGTCTAATTTCAAATGGAATGTCCTTTAAAGTTTTAATGGTAATATTTCCCATTTACAGTGGGGTTGCTGATGTTGCTTTTAAGATTGCATCCCTGGTTTGTCTTCTTGAAAACTTGACCACTATTTCTCCAGGTAGGCTGTGTTTTTTTTTTTTTTAATATAGTTGGAGTATGCCCTATAGGCTGTCTCCATTTTGTTTACAACTTCCTCTGCTGTTAAGCCTACTACTGGAGTGATGATCTCACTAAGCACCTTCTTCAAGTCTTCCCGATCTGTTTCAGGAACCCCCTGAAACCTGAGAATCATGTTAGCTTTTTCCATCTGGAGCTGCAAGACATGGTTCTCTTGGCAATTCTCCTTCATTTCAACCTCTCCCATCCTTTTCTTCAACTTCTTACTTGTGGTGTCAATCTCTTTAATTTTCTCGTTTGCCTGCTCCACTTTTTTCTCCGTCTCATTCAGCTGGAGCTGGTGTGCAGCGCAGTTTTTATTCATCACAGTCAATTGCTGGTTAATAACATTGAGTTGTTCCATCACCGGCTTAAGCATATCCGCCAGGAGTTTGAGGACATCTGCTCCCTCTTCCGGTCTCGGACTCTGCCCACCCGGCTTCATTTTAAACTTTCTCTGCTGGGCCGCCATCTTTCCCATTTTGTTTACAATTTCTACCGCTTCCCCACAACTCGGAAAACTCGCCAAACAACTTCGCAGATCAGATAAGTCTCTCAAAATACTTTCGGTTTACTTCCTCCCCTCTCCCCCTCCGTGTCCGTTAACTGCTCTTTCGCAAAAGAGGCGTCCCTCTTTGCAATCTCTGTTTCCGATCGCGGGGGGGGGAATCGCTTTTCAAACGGCTCCATTTTATTCAGAACACACGTTCATTGTTGGCCAGTTTATCTGAATACGCTCGGTTTTACACCATTCCGCTCGATCTCCGGCGCTTGTCCCAGTCAGTCTAGCTTGTGCCTGAGGGCCACTCAGCAACTGGACCATCGAGGCGGAGGAGAGCCTCAATTCTCTGGCATTATGCCATCGAAGAAGCTACCCCTCAAAAGCCCCCTGGTCTGGAGCCTATTGCAAAGGCTCCTCGGGGGTGTCACTTGAGGTGGCACCCCTCCAGGTCGCTGCTGTGCGATTCACCCTCCTCCGCTGTGAGGAGAGCATCCGCTATCGCTGTTCCATCGGCCGGAAGTCCAGAAATACAGAAATATTAATATTAAATGTTAATAAGAACTATCCAAACAAATGATACTCCTTTTAAACAGCTGCACAGAAATAGATTTTTACACCATATGAATCACAGAAACATTTTGCCCAAAGTAGAGTTTGTACAGGTTTTCATGTATACATTAATAATTGCAGTGTACTCTTTGGAATTCATGGTTGTAAGGGAAAGCCTGGCAGTTATTAACACTTCTAAACTTTAATAAGTTCTTATTCCCACCGTGCTTAGCTTCCCTGAAGAATGGGGCAAGTGAGAAAAACATAGTCCCAGTGTGAGAGGTGTTCAGTGTACTGGAAAGGGTTGTCTTCCCAGGTGATCCCACTACACCTGGGGAGACAGAGACAGTGATTTGGTAGGGAATAAAATAGACGGTATATAATTATTTGCTTCTACCAGCAAAAGAAACCTCTGCTACCTGCAGAATGAAATCACTGAACCTAGCCTAATAAATTCTGCAATATCTTCCCTCACCTGTAGAGATATCTGATTTCTACAAATGTTGAAGCCATGGGGAGAAAAACAGTTTGCATTTTTACGGACAATCACATAAATGTTGGGGATCAAAATATGTGAAATGCCATCTTATGAAACCTAATTTTGACCGTTCTAACAGCACTATTTGGCATAATTAGGAAATTTAAGAGAATAAAATCCTTAAGTTTTCTATAAAAAAGACTGTGAATATATTTAAGAGAGACACAGATGAACCTCTGTGCTACCTTTGCACATGTATCTTAATTTTTGCTATCCAAGAGGTAGAAAAAATGTAAGCCGAACCTAGAAAGCACTGTTTTTTAGCAAGCAAGAGAAAGTGTATTATTTGGACAGAAAGTCACAGCTGGACTGGAAAATATAGTCCTCTATAAACATTTGGTTTTGCATTAGAAGCTGTGGCTGGTTGGCTCCGGCTGAGCCGATTGAAACTAAACCCGGTGAAGACGGAGGTCCTGGGCCTGAGTCGGGTCGGTACGGGGTTGGGGCTCCCTCTCCCGGCCTGTGACGGGGTGCCTTTGGTGCCGGCGTCTCGGGTTAGGAGTTTGGGGGTGCTTCTGGACTCCTCATTAACAATGGAGGCCCAGGTAGCGGCCACTGTCAAGTCAGCCTTTTACCATCTTCGGCTGGCACGGCAGTTGGTCCCCTATCTTGACCGAGATGACCTGGCCACAGTGATCCATGCGACGGTCACCTCGAGGCTAGACTACTGCAACGCTCTCTACATGGGGCTGCCTTTGTCGCAAATCCAGAAGCTGCAGCTAGTGCAGAATGCTGCAGCCAGGCTTGTTGATGGGTCTCTCTAGGAGGGACCACATTCAGCCTGTGCTGAAAGCGCTGCACTGGCTGCCGATAGCATACCAGATTCGCTTCAAAGTGCTGGTTCTTACCTATAAAGCCCTATATGGCCTGGGTCCAGCCTACCTGAGGGACCGCCTTTCCCCACATGTGCTGAGGCAGTGCATACTATTGCTGGGAATTTTAATCACGCTGAATTAAAACCTGTGCTCCCTAAGTTTTATCAGCATGTGAAATGTGCCACCCGAGGAGATAAGACCTTAGATAAAGTCTACTCTAACATAAAACATGGTTACAGGGCCATGCAGCTTC